AACTGATATAGATCAACATGATTTGATTGAGGTGGAGTCTACTCAATCAAGTAATGATAATAATCATAATGATTCAGAATCTGAGATTGAATCATTAAACCCATCACTTGCTAATCATCAACTTACAAGGGATAGAGAAAGAAGAAACTTAATACCTTCTACCAGATTCAGTAATAATGACTTTGTCACCATGTTTTCTGTTTTAGACTCCTTAAATTCTGAACCCGAGAATTTTGAAGAAGCAATAAATAGTCCTGGCTCTAAACTTTGGAAGGAAGCTATAAATGAGGAAATGGATTCTTTAATCAAGAATAAAACATGGGTTCTAGTCAACAAACCTAAAGATAAAAGGGTAGTTGACTGTAAATGAATTTTTAAAATAAAACAAGGAGACTCTAAAACAGAAAATAAAAGATATAAGGCCAGGTTAGTGGCTAAAGGTTTTACCCAAAAAGAAGGAATAGATTTTAATGAGATCTTTTTCACCAGTTGCCAAATATACCTCAATTAGAATTTTATTGGCCTTGACTGCCCACTTTGACTGGAAACTGGAACAACTTGATGTTAAAATAGCTTTCCTAAATGGTGACCTTGATGAAGTCATATACATGAATCAACCTAAGGGCTATGAAGTAAAGTCCAAAACTGAAAAGGTTTGTTTGTTGAAAAAGTCCCTATATAGGCTGAAACAGGCTCCTTGACAGTGGTACCTGAAGTTTAATTCATATGTTCAGACCATGGGTTTTGAGAAAAGTAGCTATGACTCCTGTTTGTTTCTTAAAGGGTCAGGAGGACCTGAATCTATATATCTGTTATTGTATGTAGATGATATGTTACTTGCCTGTCATGATAAATTTGAAATTAAATCTATTAAATCAAAGCTAAAATCTGAATTTGAAATGAAAGATTTAGGTCCAGCCAAAAGGATTCTTGGTATGGAAATAGAAAGGGACAGATCTAGTTGTACCCTAATTTTAAAACAATCTGCATATATACAGAAAATACTTGAAAATTTTTCTATGTCTGATTGCAAATCTGTCTCCTTACCTATTGCAAATCATTTTAAACGTTCTAGTGATCAATCACCTAAGTCCAATGATGAATTGAAAAGAATGGAAAATATTCCCTATGCTAATGCTGTAGGATCCATTATGTACCTCATGGTTTGTACTAGACCTGACTTAGCTCATGGTATTAGCATCCTAAGTAGGTTTATGGCTAATCCTGGGGAAACTCACTGGTTAGCTATAAAGTGGATGATGAGATACTTGAACGGTTAAATTGACTTAGGACTAAAGTTTAAAAGAAGTAATGAAGGCATAATTTTAAAGGGGTACACTGATTCAGATTTTGCTGGTGATCTTGATAAAAGAAGGTCTACGTCCTCTTATATTTTTACTTTGTATAATGCTTGCATTAGTTGGAAATCTCAACTGCAAAAATTAGTTGCATTGTCCTCAACAGAGGCTGAGTATATAGCTGCATGTGATGTTGTGAAAGAGAGCATATGGCTAAGAGGACTGTTAAATGAAATTGATTTTGTAAATGAATCTATTAGCATTCATACCGATAATCAAAGTGCAATTCATTTAAGTAAAAACCCTGTTTATCATGATAGGACAAAGCATGCTGATATAAAATTTCACTTTGTTAGGAATATGGTTGAAAAGGGGTTAATCGGTCTAATTAAAATTCCTACAGAATATAATCTCTCTGACCTTGGAACAAAAATTTTGACACTTAACAAATTTAAGAACTGTTTGAAAATTCTGAATATAACCTAAATTAAATTAGGTGACATTCAGTAACTCATTTGTTGAGAATAATACTAACTTTAGAATTTTTCTTTTTTAGGTACTGTAGAGCTAAATGAAGTCAAGAAATGTTTGAATCCACTAGTTGAAACAAAGAAATAGTTTAGCAAAGTGGAAAATGTCAAAAGTGATGGGCTACCTCACTATTTCCTATTTTGGGCCCTTACTAATTGAACAAAACAAGAGGCCCAAACTTACTTAACATATTCTCGCGTTTTGGTTTCACGTTTTACTGCCTCTTATGGTTGGGTGTGTGCCATACATGTGGCACACCCTCAACCGTTAGATAAAGTCTGTCCAACTGTTTTGATACTTACTTGACCCTTGGTCGTCTGGCTTTTGGCGTTCTCTCTGATTTTTCTCTAGAACTTTCAGTCTTTCTCTCTGCATGGGAGTTCTTTCGTGTCTCTCCTTTCTCTAAAAATTTAATACGAAATCTGTGTGATTTTTGAAAGTTCTTTGAGTAAGGATTGTAAAGTTGGGTGATCTGTGTGATATTGTTGAAAGGAAATCTGTGTGAAATATAGGCTAGAAAAAGATGAAGAAATCCCTGATTTCTTCGAACATTCTGTATTGATTCTTTGTGAAATTAGTGGAAACTCACGCATGTCTCTTGATTGAGGCTCAACGGGTGATTAGGTCCTTGGACTGAATATTCGGGCTCCATTTTGGAGCAAAACATATCTTGTGTTCCTATTTTTTGTTTACGCTATTTTTATTCTGAAATAATTTTTGATTCGAGAATAAACCTTTAAATTCAAGATTATATCAACTCTGGGACCAACAGACCTTAAGTTTCCTATTTATACATACTCCCCACCTCATCTTCCTCTCATTCTTCTCACTTTCAAAAAATATGATGGCAGTAATATCCACAACTTCGACGCTCGAGTTTGAGTCAAACACGGATGTTGACAAGCTGAACTACGAAATCTTCTCCATTCTTGAAAACAAGTTCCTTTTTGGATATGAAGAAGCTCACAAGTTTTCTATCAACAAGCAGCAACAAATGACTCCATCACCTGCTGTTAAAAATGTGTCCGCCGAAAAAATAAGAATCCTAAGCATTGATGCCGGTAGGTCTACTGATGGGGTCCTTGCAGCCAAGTCTTTAGCGCATTTGGATTTGACCCTCCGTCGAAAATTGGGAAACCCAAATGCTCATACTGCAGATTTCTTCGACGTGGTTGCAAGAGCTGATATAGGTGGAATCTTCGCCAGTCTACTGTTTACTCGCGGGAAAGATGGTGAGCCCTTGTTCAGCGCAGAGAAAGCTCTTAGATTCATATTGGAGCATGGCTGAAAATTTTCTAAAAAATCGTCAGCTAGGGGCTTCCAGTGCGTATTCCGTCTATTAAAGGCTGAGAAGGTCCTTAAGAAAGTGTTTGGGGGAACTAACGCTAAAAGATACATTAAAACCGGTTTTAATTCCCTGTTACGATCTTAGGATGGGGGCTCTGTATCTGTTTTCTCATGCCGACGCTATGGAAATGAACAGATGCAATTTCAAGATGGCAGGCATTTGTGGAGCCACGATAATTAGTCAAGCGATGGACCTGAAATCAATAGCCGAGAGAATAAAGATCGTAGCCATCGGTGGTGAGGTGGCCATGGACAACCCTACGACTGCTGCAATAACTCACGTTCTAAATAACAAGCGAGAATTTCCCTTCTGTAAATGAGTGGAAGATTTGTTGATTGTGTCATTAGCTAACTGCGAGTCAGCTACCGGAGTCAGGAGGATGATGTCTTCGCCGGCCGCATTTGTTAGGATCGCTGGAGATGGAACTTTCGACATGGTACCTACAGCACATATTGATAAGAATGACTTGTTGATATTAATTATGTGTACTTATTATGTGTTTTCCTTGTGGGTTTATAGGTTGATCAAGCGATATCAATGGCATTTGGTGAGTCAAGAGGAAACAATTATGTTCGTATTCAGGGGAGTAGAATAGTAACGAATAACAAAGAAAATGGAAACACGTTGACGATTGCAGAGGAAATGTTGGCACAAAAAAACGTGGAATCTGTACTATTTTCTAGAAAGAAACTGGCTGAGAAAACACATATTGAAAAATTGGAAATGATAGGTGGAGAACTAATGAAAGAGGAAAAAAGAGCATAGTACCAATAGTGGTGGTGAAAGTACAGGGTGGTTCCCCGTCGCCAAGATCATCATCCGCCATATATCTATATATATACACATTACTATAGTTGGCACGAGTCTTTCTGATGCCTGCCTACATTATGAAGTAAAATGATTTCAGCTAAACTACCCGGTTTCAATTCTGCTAGGGTGAAAGGGTTGGGGACAGGGAAAAAAACAGGGGTTGAGATGAGCCCTTGATCTGATCTACAACAGATCAGATCAGATCAAGGGCTGAGGTGGTTGCACCTCAGCACCTCAACCCCTGTTTTTTTACCCTGTCCCCAACCCTGTCACTTTAGCATTATACACCTGGTTTTAGTAATGATACGGATTTTCTTCTATAGTTCATTAGGAAAATTGAGCAGAGCTCTCCAATAGAATAAATTGTAGAGCCCCTATTTGAGCTCCATTTTTTTAGGGAAAATGTAGTCCCTAACCTATTTAAATCTGTAAATTTGGGTCTACTTGACCAAAATCATCAACGTAGTTTGATGTTTGGTCTTTCATCTTTAGATCACACGAAAATAGCATGAAATTTAATGTCCACATGATGATTTTTGATCACGTGGGAACTCAAATTTACACATTTAACCTCAATTTTGAAGGTAGAGGTCCAAAATCACACCACGTGAAAAGTTGGGGAGCTTGGCTCTAATTTTCTAAAAAATGTAATTCAATTGTTCCTTCTTAGTAGTTCGTAAAAATAAATACACATATAGACAGGTATAGAGACCTCTCCTACTATCAATGAATTTAACAAATAAACTGAGTCCTTAACAATGGCGGATCCAGGTAATGGTGAGCTAAGGCGGTCATCCTAACTGGATCCGTCGGAACCATTGAAATGTTGCAGCGATGAGTTACAGTGCAGGCAACATAGCCAGGAGGAAGAAGATGCAGAGTATGGAAGAAAGAAAGAAACTTAGGCTCAATTCAATGTGGGCTGCCCTTTTTCCTTCTTTTTTTTTTTTTGTTGTGCTAGATTCACCTTGGCCCAATTCCCAAACCAAATTGGTGTTTCATTTATGTAATTCATCTTCCATTCTTCTGCTCCAAATCATTTCCACACTTCCATTTCCTTCAAACCCACCACAAACCCTTACCTAATTACTGAAAGGCGAACTCAACTGGTGTGGCATCTGGCGAATGAATGGAAGGTTGAACCACACAAAACCACCACAAAATCTTACGACTTACGGCACCTAATCGCTATTGCTGCTGGCCTGCTACGCTACTGCTGGTGAGACTCTGAGAGGCGAGATGAGAGGAAGACGTTGAGAGTCTGCAATGCATTTCTTGGTGAGCTTCAGGTGAGCCTGCATTTCTTTTCTCTTTCTCTTTTATTTTTTTGGTATTGTTTTTGTTCTACCATCTATGTGGTGACTGTGAATAATGTGATAATGTGATTATGTGAAATGTGAATCTTGAAATTTGAATGTTGAATTATTGATTGTTGTTGTTGAGCTTGCTAGTTGCCGATTGGATTGTTGGTGTTGGACTTGGGTGAATGGATTATAGAACTTGCCAATTGCCGTGTTTTGTCTTCTTGAGGCAATGTTGTTGTCTTATGGAACCTTCCAATTGTCGTGTTCTTGTCGTATTTTGGGTTGCATTGAACTATGTTTTTATATGTATATAATTTTTACGTTTTAATGCATTTACATATCTATTGAATAATTTTTAATATTATTTAATCAAATTTTAATAAATGATCGAGCTCGGTCGGAACAGGCTATTACGATCGTTGACTGTTGACATTTAACGGTCAAAGTTAACCTCCGCCCTAACTGAAAGTTTGTGTTGGATTCGCCCCTAGTCCTTAATTTAAAAAATTAAGATTGTTGAATGATCGCGTATGTGAACACAAAAATCAACTCGTGACCACAAAACAGGTCCATCGGTCGATATTCAATCAATTTCCCACTTCTTTTCGTGTTGCGCATGGCATCTGCTAAACATAAATATTATAAAACCCATGCTTTTTTCAATATTTCCTTTTTAATTAAGGATTTGCTCTAATTAACGATCTAAACACAATACTTGTCGTCGATTTTTCTATCCCGCAAGTGTACGGATCGTAACAAACAATAAAATGGACCTAAGAGTTCGAATATCTTTCCCATGAGTACCACTATTTAACAACTTGTTCAATTATTACTACTTTAATTTGATCGAAAATAAATAACAAGTTTTGTGATTGATGTCTAAATTATTCTAACTAAACTAAATGATCTAACGTATACAATTTATCTAATTTGGATTTTAAAAGTATGAATATAGATGTTGGGACTTACAATATTACGTATGGATCCTCTTAATTTGAAAATCAAGATTCATTACAATTGTAGTGTTCGATCGAATTCTTTTAAAATATTCAATTTACCCTTTTCGAGTTCTCATTGAACTTATTTAACTAATTCAATCTCGTATCTCTATCTGAATCAATTTTATAAAATATTAGTTCTAAGAATTCATCTAACGATTGCAAAAATTAGTATAGTATCTCTATACGTTTTACTAAATTATCGAATTTTAATATGTGGGCTAAATTTATAACTCACCTCTCAATTCGTAATAGATTCACAAAATTATTGAATAATTGACCAAAGAATTCAAAGCATTAAGTACATAATTAAAATCAACACTTATGGATTTAAAGAAGTTGAATCTTGAATAAAAGAAATAATGAATTTTAAAAGATTACATTATTTTCTCTAATATGAATTTAACTACTTATGATAATGAAAAAAAAACTAAAGAATTACATTGAATATATCATCGGGTTTTGAATTATGCCTCCATTCTTGATTTCAAAACCTAGATCTTGATTTCTTGTTTTCCTTCATTTTGATACTCTCAAAATTTCTCATTGTATATTCTGTCTCTCAATGTGTGGAATCTCCATTTGAAGTGTCAAAAAATTGTATTCTCCCCACATTTTCCCCAAATTTGGAGTCTTTATAGACTTTTCACAGGCCAAAATGAGTAACCCTAAAAGAAAAATGACATAGCGCCTAAGGGCAAGGAAGCAACGCCTATGCGCCGAGAAGAAATTTGGTGCGGCACCTAGGCACTATACTTGTAGCACCCAAACGCAAACAACAGCACCTGGGCATTACGAGTGTAGCACCTAAGCACTGCCTTTCTATCAAAACTGCTCATTTTTCACGAATAGTAGCACCTGGGTGCTGAATTACTGTTTCAAATTCTTTGATTTTGGTTTCTTTGTCCACTTTCATACCCCTTTCTACACAGTCTCTCATAGTCTTCAAAACAACACTAACAAACACATTAAAAATGTTCCATACCATAAGATCTAACAAATAACTAAGTTAAAATTGTGTAAAACTTGTGAGTGAATCACACTCGTCAATACTACCTCTTTTCATGTGGATCATGTAAGATTAAAAGCCACGTATCATAAATAAGTTACATCATCACATGTGCGCATGACCAACATCACTTCCTAGATACCAACTCTAAACATTCCATCATTGGCATAAGGGTTCATTAAGGGGTTCATCATGTGGAAAACTTCCTAACTAGGAAGGAGAATGTGACCTTAGCCTCATCATCCCCAAAGGCAAAAAGGATGGTGAACCTATTTACCTTGAAGAAATCCTCTCTAAGTCTCGTACAGAGTTAAGGCTGCGAAGCATAATCATATGACCCTTTATTTCTTGCTCCAGCAATAGAATATTCTCTCTATTAGATGGAAAAAGGTTGGCTGTCACTTAAAGTTCAAACCGTTAAAAATGCAAAACGAGTTAGCTGTAGAGACACGTGTCCCGATAGGTTAAAATGTCCAAAAAACTCTTGACCATAATTTTCCTATAAATACTCCATGTTTTATGAAGAAAGTATGAAAATCAAACTCTTAGCCAAATCTTTATCCATTTTGTTTTTCTTGCTTGCATGCTTGTTCTTATTTTTTGACAATAGACTTGATTGCAGCTGTTGGTCCACCCTTTTGATGATTACCTTTGCAAGCCAATGATGCTAAGAGTGCATGTCAATAACATGTGGACGAGGAGGTGACAAGAATCTGCTTATTTTTTGATCATGTTAGATTTTAAGGTTTACAGACTTTATTGTCATGTCACTCGATACCTTTTTGTTGCCTTCATTTTTTGTATTCTTTTGTTTATCAAGTTTTTCTTTTTTGAAAAGCATAGGCTATATTTGTGAAAGAAACAAAGATGAGATTTATAATGATTGGACCAATAATAATGCAAAATCTCTTCTTAGCAATTCGGTTAGGATCAATCCAAACCAATCATTTTCTCCAATTTAATACTCTCTCTAAAAGGGGGGGGGGGGGGGTTTTAAAATCTCCATGACCAATTCAAGATGAATTTCTCCCTCGACAGAACTTGGATAAAGTTGAGTCTAAAGTTCTCGATTCAAAATAAATCATGAAGAAGAGGTGTCAACCTTCCTGTCAATGTGAACTCTTGAACAGAGTCCTAGTAAAGCCCCTTGGCAACGTATTTTTTTGAAACATGATCCTCGATAACATGACAACGATTGCAACCTTCACTTTAGCATGAACCTCGGAGCTATCAATGATTATTCGTCTTGACACAAGAAACATTGAGCTGTAGTTGAATGACCAATGTTCCATGTAAAGACATCTTGCCATAAAACAATGACTCAAATGTGATATAAACATCCAAATTACATTTGATATGCTGCCCAAAGCATGCAATGGGGATGAAATGTGCACTTATGATTGGCACACATATTAAGACGAGGGCAAGTATGATAGTCGTTACTAGGGAGATGTTAAAAAACCAACTCCAAATAAATAGTTCAACAACCTGCCAAATTATGCAAACCGCTTTCGCCTTTCAATTGTGAACAATCCTCTTTAGTTAAATTTACTTCCAAATTGTTACATCAAAACTTTATCCACTCAAAAATTTCCTTAAGCTGAAGGATCGAATTTCACGATAATCCTTAAAAATTTATCAGCG